TGCTCTCAGACAAATGCCTCAGTTCACAACATTGCTAACCGACTGTCGATGCTTAACCGGCAGTACAGCCCAGCAACCCCGCCAAGCATTCCATGCAGGCCCACCAGACAAAACGCCCGATGAGAACCTTCATGTCAGCAACACGGGATGCAACGCTCTGTCTCGTCATCTGTATCATCCTTGAGCAAACGATTACTACCAAGTTACCAACGCATATCTGCCTACTTTACTGTGTGGATGTGAGCCTCCTCCCTTCAGAGTGGATAAGTCAGAACATCGGCTGAACTCATCTCAGTAATCGATGAAAAACCTTCAAGGCAGTTATGGCGAAAATCATCCTTGCTCAGATTCCATTCAAACAGGACACATATCCCCCATTGGGATCGGCAAATAAGAATCATCATCGCAGAACAAGCATTTCGGAATGGGTCCTCTCCACGTTCACCGCCCAAAAGCTTACATCTACAGAAAGTACTCCTTAACCACATCGGAACCGTCTGCAAACGCCTGGGATTGGTCGATTGGCCATCATATCGATTGATTACCCCAAAGACGAATGCTGTGTGCGACTTTTGGAGTAGGGTCCCGCCATGTCCGCATTCCATGCTCTGTTACAATTATTCCAATTGCTTACAATTACTTCCAATCGCGAGAATATTATGCCATGTGGCTGAGCATCCGCTGTCCGCCATGTTCAGCCATGTTCAGAATCCGCAAAAGAGCACAGTCGGTACTAATCCTACCCAAAGATGACCTTAGCCACGTACTAACCCTAGAATAAGTACTAACCATAGCGCCACAACTACTCGGCCTCAGGAGAGAGCTACCGCCAAAGACATCAATCTTCTCAGAAATGACTCCGCCTCGAGAGAACATCTACCCCCAAAGATACCTCCCAACCGCTAGTCAGAAACTCTCATCCAATCCACAAAAACTTACTACTGTGCCCATCTTTGGATTCTGCAGCCCATGTGCCCCATCCAATCCACAAAAAAATTACTACTATGGCGTAGAACCACTCATCAACCTGGAAGTGAGAGCGGATTTGACTGGCAAGGCTGTATTCCAACTAGGCTGTACAGGAAACGTGCTTGTGACTGGTAAGGCGCTCTGCAAACAGATCAAACCCAATCATATATAGCATGATGTGGTCCGTCGATTAGTAGCGCTCTATAATAGATCATATAGAGGGCCGTGGAGACAAGACCTCCGGTTGTCTGGCCAGTGCTGARACCCCACATAGGTCCCAGCGATCACTATTCGGCAACAACAGCACAACTTCGACAGCCCCACTTGAAAGAGTGCCGACGGGCTTTCACCGATGCCAGACAATGTAGTCTCCACTGATGCGCTCCGGCATGTTCTCAGGTATCTCAAATACCGTTTCCAGCCAGATTTTGTTTTCACAGCCAGCGGCCTTGTGCATGGCTCTGTACGGTCTACACCGAAAACAAGATCTTCCTGTTCCCACACTGCAATTACGACCTCAAATTGGCACAAACAAAGATGGCACAATTGCCCGTGAGTTTCGAACTAAGCACTAAGGGTAGTAAGTGATGCTTCCATAGATTGTTTCATAAGGCCAAACGAAGATGGCACAATGGCCCGCGAGTTTCGAACTAAGCACTAAGGGTAGTAAGTGATGCTTCCATGGATTGTTTTATTAAAGAGCGTGTTAACATCATCCGCTTTTATCACGCGCCTTCATTTAATCATAAGATTGTATACTAAATAAGCGCTGCTGTGTGGTGCACAAACACCCAAACTATGCCCCGGCCGTCGACATGGTTTACGCTCCTCGACGTCTGTTCAAGCATGTTTGAGACCTCCTTCAACTCAGGAGTGAAAGGCTACTTGAAGCACACACCATCAGTTCATAAGAAGAGGGTTCGGAGTTCGATATACCGCCAACATTTAACACAGTGCAAATAACGACGGTCAAGCCCAATGGATCCTGAATGTCTACATACCTTCATCCTCTCGCCCTGTACCACATTTGCGTCCTAAAACCTCATTTCGCGAACATCCCCTTCCGGGCATACAACACACACATTAAATGGCAAAGCTGCCATCTTCTTCGTCAGAGTGACTCGTCGGCACTGAAGACTTCATCACGATTCATGTTCTTCATCTGGATGGTTGGCGCTGGCCTCTGGGAGGCGGATTCAGTGTTGGGCTAGTAACTGGGTGTGGAATAGAGAGTGGTGTGTGGAGTTCTGAGGGTGGCGAGACACTGGGATAAACTCTGTAACGATTATTGGCTTTAGTATGCTCATCATCAGTGTCATTCCGACTGTTATCCTCGCAGGTGCCTCCTTGTAATTGGTTGTTGGGAGTCTGTCAGAGAGTGAGAATCACTGTGTGTCTCTCCCCATCTGCGCATGGTTGAATTCCGCTGCTTATCCTTGTCTGTGTGCAGTTTGGACTCTGTCTCCTCTCCCCTTTGTCTGGTATGTGTATGGGCGTGTGTCAGACACTCTGTGTGTGAGTGGCGAGAAAATCKTCAGACAACCAAGTTCATAACACACAACACATACGGATGTGGACTCGCATCATATCAAATGGTAAAAGCTCGTATCAATGATCCCAAGGCCCGCATTGCCGAGAAAACCGAGTTCCCTTCACACCAGATTAGAGAAGTTTGTCTGTTGATTGACAGCCAGATGCAGCTCACATCCAGAAATTAGGAACCCAAAGCAATAGCAACAGCTGATGCAAACATCAGTGTGGCTAGATTGACCATATATCAATCAATGCACAGGTTCAAACGTCACCTCATAAATCAAGGACGTGAAGGCCATACCGTGCAAATGAGAAGTGACATCCTTCCGACAGTGTGGCGACAACCCGCCATTCAGAACGAACCCAGCAGCCCTTGGAAGATCTCCGAACGAAGAGTTCAAGCACACAGGGTTGGTGGAATACCCGGCAAAATAAAAACGATCCCGAATTAAATCCATCCATATTTCCCCCATTTAGGAATGGCAATTGTCAACGACGGGTTGTCGCCACACTGTCCTCATAAACTATACTATTCATCTGGCATCTGATAGGAGAACAAGACACCTTTTTTTATCCTCGACAACTAAGATCATGCAACAGGTCTGTGGTTGAGAGTCCATCACTCCGTACAACAACCAACAACAGGACCTCACCTCTAAATACAGAAACATCGTAAATTCCCGTCCTTGGTCTCCAACAAGAACATGAATTCGACGTCCCTTCGCGGACATCACCAAATAAGTCCTCAGTATTGCTTAATAGGTCACCACGTAAGTCAAACATTGCAAACGCCACCGCCAGTCCTGCAATCAGTGCACTCACTGAAGATACAGTTCGCCCTGTCCCCGGATGCGCATAATTCTTCAGATTTTACTGCACATAATTCATCAGATTTGACAACTGACCTCAGTTCTTATGGGTAGTAAGCTTTTTATCCACACATGGCATTCGGTGTGGTGCACAGCTCTCAGTCATCATCGGCCAAGGTACCACAAACGCTAACCCAATCGTTGCAAGCAAAGCCAAGGCAGATACATTCCTGCTAACCATAGCCAAAAATTCACGCACTACCCAGAGTCATCCCCGGGGCCATTGAACAAGCAAATCGACATAAGACTGAGGATTGGCTATTAAGCAATGTTCAATTCCGGTGCCATCCCGCGATCCTAAACAGAGTACCACTGCGTGTTGGACGTATCACACCCGCTATGCGCTGGACCACGATAATATTGTTGACCTCTTCTCATACAAACTCTATCGAGCAGTGAGCGACCAACACTGTTCACAGAAAGACATCTTTCCAACATGCATATAGGGTTGCTCAAATCTGCAGGGCAAGTCAGCATCGGGACTAAACCCTCTGTCCTGTTTAGCTTAAAAGAAAGAAGTTTTCATCATAGCAACCACACATGATTAGAAGACGAACCACCACCTCCCGCTGTACATCCATTCAACAGTGCACATACTGGTCCATATTGCCGGTAGTGGATGTCAGACTACATACTTGCACGTATAGCAGCCGAGTCATTGGGGGCGGCACATATGGCGACATATGCGACGTACAAAGACATACCACTGTAAAGCTGAAAGGAAGGATCAGAATCACTGGCTTCACAACGAGGCACTGGCTTGAATCACCGTCGATCATTCGGGGAAAGATGGAAATCATCATCTCCCGTGCTTTACTGGCAAATCCTGTTCAGGTTTGATTACTGCCATCACGTTTCCGCACCATTCCGGCTGTAGAATCGGCTGTAGAATCCATCCCCACGATACTTCTAACACGGAGACACACGAGAGAGGGTGAAGCCTCAGTGGAAAGCTCCGCTAAAAAGTTCCAAGGTACGCAGAGATGTCGTCCTCACATGGAATCGGAAATTTGGGAACATTCATTCTCTTCATCACCCTCGTCTTTGGCCACCCAGAAGTAAAGAAGCATAATACAAGAAATTACACTGAACAATTTTGTGGATTGGAACATTTGCAGTCCGCACATGATTAGAAGACAAACCACCACGTACCGTTGTACATCCATTCTGCAGTGCACATACTGGTCCATATTGCCGGTAGTGGATGTCAGACTACATATGGCGACATATGGCGACGTACAAAGACATACCGCTGTAAAGCTGAAAGGAGGGATCAGATTCACTGGCTTCACAACGAGGCACTGGCTTGAATCACCGTCGATCATTCGGGGAAAGATGGAAATCATCATCTCCCAGGTATCAGCTTTACCGGCAAATCCTGTTCGGGTTTGATTACTGCCATCACGCTTCCGCACTATTCCGCTGTTAGAATCCGTCCTCATGATACTTCTAACAACGCGCAGAGAAAACGAGGGACGGTGAAGCCTCAGCTGAAAGCTCCGCTAGAAAGTTCCAAGGAAATTTCGGAACATTCATTCTCTTCATCATCCTCGTCTTTGGCCACCCAGAAGTAAACAAGAAGCATAATACAAGAAATTACACTGAACAATTGTGGACTGGACAATTTGCAGTCCGCAGACTCCGTACCTAGGAAAAAACACCACATTGAGATTGAAAAAACAACACAGGCGAAGCTTGGGGAAACCTCTCCGGAAGTGTGCACTGCATGGTCTGCCCCAACAGGTAATTGTGACTTCACCACACCCTCCGGATCATGAAATATGCAGAGCCCTGCCCGGAAGAAAAGCCTCCTCAACAAGCATGTTTTTTCATTTCTGACCTTTGCGCAGGAACATACAGCCACATAAAAGGCTGCTCCGAAGCGCAGGGAGATGATGCCGGCCAGGCATCATACTCCCGATCATTCTAGGTTTCTCCAGTTCAAATTGCATTCACATCAGACTGATCATTTACAATTCTGCTATCTGATAAACACCTCGGTTCAGAACATTGCTAAATGACCGACCGTGATGACCGGCAATGCAGCCCCGCAACTGCGCCAAGCTGTCCATGCAAGCTCACCAAGCTCACCAGACAGATAGATAAAATAAAACAACGACGACGGCTACGAAAGTTAAGACATGTAATGCATACTGTTCGAAACGTGTACTGCATGGTCTGCCCCAACATGGTCGCCACACCTCACGTCACTATTTGTGACTTCCGCTTTATTACATCACCATGCTTTCTGCGGAATGCTGAAACCAAATTTTGGTAAATCCCTCGCAGAGCGTGGAACGAGGTGGAGCCGGCAAAAAACAAAAAACAAACATTTCATCATGGGTCATGTTGGCTCAGGTGTTACCTGAAGCAATTCGCGTTCACAGAGGATAATCCTCTCAAACAAGAGGTGTCAGAATTAACAGCTTTTTATCATCATCGCAAACATGACCACGACGGGCTTACCTTACACCATCATTGACAGCAGATTTTGCGCTCATCACATTTAAGCTCATGTCAAACACCCAGAAACACGACAAAAAGCATTTGCATCTTCGCAGCTAAATTTAAACACCCCGTCCCAAAGGAAATTCCCAAAAGGCGCTGCAAGACAATCGTTCAACTATGATCCGCAGCTTCCTATCGAAGGGAGAAGAATCGACGTAAATTGTCATTGCATACATGATGCTACCACCCCCGTGGCAAGAGGCTTTCATTACAGGCTTCACCAGCAGGAACGGACATTGGAGGCTGATAACAGCCACAACAAAGCCCTTCCTCACCTAGCCGTACGAAGAACACTGGCGACACTGCTCAACTCGCTACGTCTACTCAAAGGCAGTGAATATCAGCCAGACTGCACCTCAGTAGCCGACAACAGACAGCCACCAAGTGAAACGCTGCCTGGTTCAATGTTGGGACACTCGTACATGGGTTCCCGGTCTTTCGAAAAAGACAGCCCGCACAGCAGATGTATCCCATTCCCCATAATCACTCGAGATTTAAAAACTTTCATTCAATCTATCTGAGCACGATAGAAGAACTTCCACCATCAGACATCGAAGCAGGGAATCTGTTCCCAACCTGGACACCGCGGACAATTTCTGAACAACTGGCAAGTCCTATAAGCATTGAGAAATGCTCATACTCTCCCCAGGTTGAACGATAGGATTTCCACAAACTTTTCCTCCTCACATGTCGTACCATGATGACACAAGCCCTCAGAATGTGTAACAACAATTTCCGTATCTTGAGTCAAGAGACTTCAGTGAAATCCGCTATTCATCACACCGGCCAGAGGAACTACGTACTCTTAACTCAATCTTTTTCAAATCGAGAGGCCCTCCGATGATAACAACCGGACTGACGCCCCTGATACCAACCGGACTGACAACCCCCAAACAAAACAGGATGGCGCTGGAGTACATTCTTAAGTCAAAGAAAAAGACCAGAGAGTTGAACCCGTGGACAATAATCGAGTGCCAACCACGACTGCAAAGAGACCCTACGAAACCATTAATACAAGTCGTTGGGCTCAGATTATCATTCTGGTCTTTGTCTCTCATTTGGATCAGTAGCAGAACTGGCATAGACAAGGTATCTCATCATTGCCCAAATTATGTCAGAAGACCGTCAAACTTGTCTTTATCCTCGAGACCTAATCTTAGCTGACAAAATTGTTCACATACCTATATAACTACCCACACCTTGCCATATTACCTCGAATTTAACGGTTATTTTCAGATATAGAGCACTGGAATTGGAAACTACCAATCACACAAATATGCAGAACCCAGCTCGGACAAGCGCTCAAGGACAAGCATCGGCAAGCGAACT